TTGTTTATTGAGAAAGCAACTAAGGCTAAAATGGTAAAATAAACATATATTGTCACCCCCCCGCAAGCTGAAGGTGCACATTGTGGAGGTTCAACTTGGAGACTAATGAAGAGAAAGCAGGTCCTGGTAAAGCTTTTGTCAAGGCATCTGCTAGTTGTTCTTTGGTGGGAATATATTGCAGTTTGATGATGTTGTTGGCAACCTTTTCCCAGATCAAATGATAATCCAGCTCTATGTGTTTTGTTCTCTCATGGAACACTGGGTTAGCAGCCATTGCCATTGCTGATTTACTGTCTGTAAACACAACAGCAGGCTTTGTGTGAGAAATATGGAAATCATCAAATAAATATAATAGCCATTGAAGCTCACAAGTAGTAGAAGCTAAAGCTCTGTATTCTGCTTCAGCTGAGCTTCTACTAATTGTGGCTTGCTTTTTGGATTTCCAGGAGACAAGTGATTGGCCAAGGAATATAGTATAGCCTGTAACACTTTTTCTGCTATCTATGCAACTTGCCCAATCACTGTCACAATATGCAATTAAATCCAATGAAGAAGATCTGGGAAAAAGAATACCTTGTCCAGCTGAGTCTTTGATGTATCTTAGTATTCTATGTGCAACAGATAAATGGACAGAAGATGGTTTACTCAAGAATTGACTCAAACATTGGACACTATATGAAATGTCAGGTCTGGTGATGGTTAAGTATAGAAGTCTACCAATTAGTCTTCTATACTCAGAGGCATCAACCAGTGTATCTGACTCAGAGTTGGCAGTAAATTTGCTTGTGGGATCCATTGGGGTGGAAGCAGGTTTACCGCCTAAAAAACCTGTGTCTTTAAGTATGTCCAAAGCATACTTTTTTTGACACATATTTATGCCATGCTCAGAATGTGCAAATTCAATGCCTAAAATGTATTTGAGAGTACCAAGATCTTTGATGGTAAAACAATGATGCAAATGTTGTTTAATGGTGGTAATTAAAGACAAGTTATTACCACAAATGATAACATCATCTACATAAACAAGTAATGCTGTAAAATCTGAAACAGAGGATAAAGTGAATAATGAGCAATCAGCTACAGATTGTTTAAAACCATAGTCTAAAAGGCAAGATGTCAATTTGTGGAACCATTGCCTAGAGGCCTGTTTGAGGCCATAAAGGCTTTTGATTAATTTGCAAACCCTCTTATCAGATTTATGACAATAACCAGGGGGAGGAGACATATATACTCTTCATTCAAATCACCATGCAAGAATGCATTATTAACATCCAATTGATGAATATGCCAGTTTTTAATGGATGCCAGAGCAACTAAAAACCCGACAATTGTGATTTTAGCCACAGGGGAAAAAGTATCAAAGTAGTCTATGCCTTCCTCTTGAGTATACCCTTTTGCTACTAACCTAGCTTTATATCTTTCAATGCTCCCATCAGATTTGTATTTGATTTTGTAAACCCATTTACACCCTATGGCGTGTTTATCATTTGGTAAATCAGTAAGAACCCAAGTTTTAGTATCTTCTAAAGCCTTAAGTTCTTTAGACATGGCTTCTTGCCACAAAGGATCTTTAACAGCTTGAGAGTATGTTTTAGGTTCTGAGTTTTGAGTGATAGCAGCAGTAAAACATTTATGAGATTCTGAAAGATTAGAGCTAGATAAGTAGTCAGAAATAGGATATAGTGATGTACCAGAAATGCATTGTAGAAGATTTGAAGAAGATTGTGGTTGAGTGGGTAGATTGAGTGTATATGTCTAAGTATGCTGGAGGTTTCTTTTGTCTTGTAGACTTTCTGGTCTGTGTTTGACAGATAGGGGATGAAGTAGTTGTAATATCAAGATTGGTAGTATCAGGATGAGTAACAAGATTAGGAATAGTAGGACTTGTAGTAGGAGGAGGTAATGGATGAGGTAGTTCTGTAGTTGTAGTAATTGGATTGGTAATGTTGTTGTGTGAGTTTGTAGTAGGTGAGGGCATAAGTTGTGTTGTTTCATCTGTGTCATAGGGAAATGTGGGTGGAGAAGGAAATAGGGTATTGTGTTGGGTTTCAGAAGGGATTTTGAAAGGGAAATAATCTTCATAAAAAATGACATTTCTGGATATCAATGTTTGCTTTGTATCCAGGTTGTAAAGTCTATAGACTTTACAACCTAGAGGATAACCAAGCAGTATACATTTTGAAGCTCTTAGTCGAAATTTATTTCTGTTTGCAGTTAAAGTAGAGGCATAGCATAGACAACCTATCACTTTTAAGTGATCATATGAAGGTGGCTTGTTAAAAAGAAGTTCAAATGGGGATTTATTTTGTAAAACAGAGGATGGTGCTCTATTAATAATGTGAGCAGCAGCCAATATGCAGTCAATCCAGAAATGCAGAGGTAAAGAGGCATGAAACATTAATGCCCTAGCTACTTGAAGTAAATGCTGATGTTTTCTTCACGCTAAGGTCCATTGTGACCGCACGGCTCCAGGAAACATAGTTGTCACCGAAAAATTGATCTGCGACGATCAGTGCACCCGGATTGTCGCTGGCGTGAAGGTAGAAGGCAGAAGACGGATCATCGGACAGATTAACGGCCATTTGGAGCAAAAATCAGACAGATCTAGAATAAGAACAGAACAGATCTAGAATTGCAGAGGATAGATTCGATCAAAAAGAGAAGATATAGGAGTGCGGAAGCGAGAAATCGTGAGGATCTTCGGAGAATGATACCATAACAAACTCAGAACAGATCGAAAGAAAACATTGAGAGAGGAATCTTATTGAACAGAGAAGATGAACGGGTTTTTGGAGAATTACAGAATGAGAGAATTCGGGTTAAACTGTACACCACCCTTCCTATTTATACTATAATACTAATACTATAGTTGTCAAAATACAAATGACAACTCTTGTTTATTGAGAAAGCAACTAAGGCTAAAATGGTAAAATACACATATATTGTCAAGCACTAACTCTATGTTTACGGTTTCAGTTTCTTCCAATTCTATCACTACTTTCATCGCTAAATCCTCATCCATAACAAACCTAATTAAAAATGCGACCACCTCTCAATCTCAAAATTCTTTAAAAAAAAATGAGAGATTGTATTTTCAAAAAATATAAAATTTACTGATCCAGGCTATACAAATTAGTACATTATTCCAAAAACCCGTATAATTTTTCATGAAATCCTAGAATCTGGTTCAAGCTATAAAAGCTCGGGAATTTTACATAATAAAGCGACCAAGAATCACACATTTCTCCAACAAAGCAGAAGAGCATTAACACATAAAAAAGAAACATATTAAGAAAGAAAATCTCCGCGAGATCATCAGACAGATGAAATATCTCTCGTATTAAAACATATAAAAAAAATCTTATAATAAAATAACTTACTTTTATACCATCACCAATTTTCAAAATCTGGTTTCCGAACATAGACAACCCCACATAGTGAGAAAGGTGAATTCGACGTTGTTCGTCGGATGTTTTAAGTTTAGATAGGTGGAAGCATAAAAACAAGTTTATTTGGTAAATATAATATATGATGTTTAGATCTGTAAAAATTTTCGAGGTACATATATTTATGTCAAATTGTGCTTATTTATTTTACAGGCTATAACTCCATGGACAATTACAATGATACTGATTTACTTAAATATAGTGACCGTTGAAAAATGTCTCGAATTTTGATCATAAAGCTTCCGATGATCCAATGCGAGATAAGAATTTTATATCGTGGGAGGATGCTAAAAAATGGTACATTAATTATGCGACAAATGCAGGCTTCGATTTTCGACTATCGAACTACAAGACTACAAAGGAGTGGTTAGTAAAGAATATACAAAGCGGAGTGTTCTTTCGAAGGCTATAGACGTAAAATTTCACATGGCTACCAGAACTAGACAGAAAATACTAATCACAAGATGTGGTTGCACTGCTAGATTCCGTGTTGCACATGACATCATGGCGGATTCTACTGGATCACCAATTTTAAAAAGTCATACAATCACCCAATGGAGAGTGTGGACACGACACATATTCTTAAGTGTAACATGTAATAAGTTTTTACACAATCGTGTCACACATACTATAACTACAAAGTACATTAGTTATAATTGCTATTGATATGAACGAATGCTAATTAATCGCAATTAATTTTGCAGACAAATGAGGGAGTCTGAAAAAAATTATTGATGTCAATGAATGATGTTGGCATTCAGACATATCAGACGTTAAATTACATTGAAAATATATTTAGTTTTCATGGAAGCATACATTACCACAAAAAAAAAAAAAAAAAAAANAAAAAAAAAAAAAAAATGCATACAACTAAATTTCAAAGAAAAAAAATGATACAATTCGCAATGGTGATTTCAATACTGCTTTAGCTATGCTCGAAGGAGTTAGGAACAATGATCCTAACTTGGTGTTGGAAACAACTTGCGACGACAAAAGGAGATTCACCTATCCAATGGTTTTTTCCAGGTAAATTTTCAACAATTTAGCGATCTTCTCATTTTTGATAGCACGTATAAAACAGACATACAAATTCCCATTGCTCATATTTCAGAGATAGATAACCACCTAAATGCACAATTGTTTTTTGTTGGGTATTGCTGCACAATGAGACCTCCAAATCATATGTATGGTTGTTAGCAAAGTTTGTTGCAACAATGAAAGGGGATATGCCTACTGCTATTTGGACAAACCAAGATGAGGCGATGCGTTCTACAATAAAGAAGGTATGAAGGTATTACCTAATGCTACACATAGACTATGTACACGACATCTCGAGAGAAAATTGTGTCCAACGAGTGAAGGTACACCATTTTTGCAAAGTTTTTGGGAAATTCGTAATGGTAAATGGACTACAGAGGACTTTGAATTTAAATGACTTGGATTTTTATAAAACATGTAAAAATTAAATAACTAAAATTTAGAGTTACTTCTAAATTTGATTTTAAAATAAAATCTTTAATATGAGGAAGTATTGATGAATGTTGTTTTTTGTTAAAGCATATAAAAATTAAAATAAAATTAAATAGTCGTTGAAAATTTTTTCTAAAAAATAATAAATCTCTGAAGATTCGAGCTGAACCAAACCGTTCTGGTAGTCCCGAATACCAAACTGAACTGAAAAAAAATAAAAAACTCTAAACTGAACCGTCCCGAGTTTTGGTACGGTTCCGGATATCGAATTTAGTATGTGCCAATTTTGGTAGGGTTGGAGAGATTTCTTAATCGATGCTCACCCCTAGCTGCCTGAAACATAGATTGTGAACTCCAAATCTAATTCCATTTCCTGATCGCGAGTGAAGTTAGACGCGGAGATGGAGAAGAAGGGGATGGTGAGAGAAGTTGCAGAAAGCTGTGTGGAGAGTTTGATGGCGGAGATTGTGTCGTCCTACTGCAAGGGCGTCTATGCTAATAAGCCCGAGCTCGCCGCCCCTAGGATCGAAGCAATCGGCTTCCAGGTCGGCCACCGACTTTCCGAGAGGTAGGTTCTTTTCCTTTGCTTTATAGACACGAGCATTAGTTTCAAGGTCTTGTATTGTCCCAATTACTTCCGTACTGAAGCGTAATTGGGAAAATCTTTGCTAGATGTGAATTAAGGAGCTACACAACCGGTTTAAATCAATTGAGGGGTTGAATAGATCAAATGCACTCTCGCAGTGATTTATTCTAGGGCGAATGACTGTTAGAAAAAGTAAAGTAGTTTGATCTGATGATTCCTTCTTGTTGGCCTCCTTAGAGTCAATTTCCTAGTAAAGTAGTTTGATCTGATATGATTGAAGAAGAAAGGAGGATGGCAGTACACCTGGGGAATTTCGTTAACATATCACGGGAGTTAGACTTTCGTCTTGATTAATGCAAAATAGATTGATCTTTTTGAGGTTTCAAGATCACACTTAACATAATAAAGTGACTAGATTTTTGCGACTGAGTGTTTAGGTTTGAAGTGTCTAGCCCATATCTGGATGGTGTTCATTTTTCATTCCCGTCTGAAGTAGTAATGGTTAAAGCATTAGTAAAAGCTAGATGGGCCATGTATTCTTAAGCATAGGCTATACATCAAAAGAGTGGGGTGAACTCTGCCACTTCCAGTTGTCCTTTACCTCTTTATGTGAGAGGACGCTTTATACATTATAAAGCGGTGGATTATATGTACCAAAATATCACAATCACCATGAACCTGGAGGCCCACGAAACACAGATTATAGATTTATAGAAGAAGTTTTGAAGCCTTGACACCAAATAGGTGGTTGAAGATACTCGTTAATAAAATTGTTCTCTCATGTCAGGTACACAATGGATCGACCAAGGTTCACAGATCACCTGGAAGCTATTAAGTTTATCTGCAAGGACTTTTGGTTCGATCTCTTCAAGAAGCAGATTGATAATTTAAAGACAAACCATAGAGTATGCATTGAGCAGTATTGTGAATTTAATTCAATGTGATGTGGTGTTTATGATTTCTGATCTTATTTCTTCATAGGGTACCTTTGTATTACAAGATAATCGGTTTAGGTGGCTTGCGCATATGTCGGTTGATCCATCATTGGTAACATCCGGTTCTGTTCAAGATCCTTCAGCAATGGCAGAAAACGAGGCTGCACAAGCAACTGGCTTGCATCTCTACTTTCCTTGTGGCATTATAAGAGGAGCACTTTCAAACTTGGGAATACCCTGTGCAGTTTCTGCAGATATCTCCAACCTCCCTGCATGTGAGCTTATCATTACCTGTATTCACTTTATAGAGCTATTTATTTTATTTTATTTTTAATATTTCTGGTGTGGACCATCTGCAGTAGCCTTAGCTAATGGCAGACCATGTATAATACTGCCCTTGCATTGGCCTCATACTTGATGAAAGCTTAGCATTCTCTCGTATTTTATATCTTTGTGAATCTAGAAGCATGGATTAATTCTTTAACTTTGCACTGTAGATACATAGGGACTTAATAAGTGCCGATTTTGATTTCTCAATTGACCTCATATTTGATGAAACCTTAGCATTCTCTTGTTCTTTATATCTTTATAAATCTAGAAGCATGAACTAATCCATTAACTATGCATTGTAGATCCTTTTGGACTTAATAAGTGTCTAATTCAATTTCTCAATGATGAATATAAATTCTGGACCGTTTTCTTGTTTACTAAAATTCTCTTGTAACTAATTTAGATTCCTGCTAGTTAATTTGTTAAATATGGTCTAGCCTCCAACTATCTGTATTTTTCGCCTAGCAAGTGCTATCTGGACATGTACGGCTGTACCCAACTTTTTCTATTTTACCACTAACTCACTCCCACAGAGAAATGACTTGGTAGTTATTACTAGGGTCAAGCATAAGCTTTACAGTGTGAGCCAACATCATTTTATTAGTATAATGAAACACATTCAATGAAACTAAGGGTGATTGCATAGGCATTGGTTAATACTGGTTTCTTAAATTCATTTTTCCTAATACTCCCTCGTTTTATTGGTTTTGATCTTGGTTGATACTGGTTTTGATCTTGTGTTTACATATTGATCTACTGCTGATCCTTTATATTGTTGTGTTATTTTATTTATGTATATAATCAGGGTTATGCCTGTAGAGGCTTGAAGATTCATCAGGGTTGGATACTATATTTTTTTTTCTTTCGCAGTTAGAACTTTTAATTCCACCGAAATGCAACAGGAGTTTTTACTCAATCCTCCTCCGTTTTTTCTTTTTTCTTCCTACCTCATCATGTTCCACTTTTTCTTCCTTCAGCTATATTTATGTGACTCGACACATACTGCAACAAGAGTCCCACCTTAGAATGTCGGGAGAGTATCGTATGGACTGTCATTTATACATAGCGTTGTTAGTTATAATAACTCTGCTCTACTACTTACATGGAAATAGCAAATATCTTTTGCACAATATCAGACATTGAATACTCTTTTTCTTTCTTAACAGTGAAGATTTGGATTTGGCAATCATTTTGTAATGCTTGACTAGCAAGCGAACTTAGGCAATTCATACCAATACATTTGAGTTTTGACGCCTGACCCATCACTAGACCTAGTTGTTACTAGGCAGAAGTGTAGAAAATTTAATTTTCGAGTGCATTAGATTGAGCTGGTCATTTATTGGATGCTAATCCATGATATGTTATCATCAACTAAAACAGGATAATTTTCTTCTTCTCATGTACTGAGCAGGTTCTTTTGTGGTCCGCATCAAAGCCTGATGAGCAATTGTAATGGATATTGAACCTCTGCTTTCCATGCTTGTGTTTGGAATTGTTTTCTCCCTATTTTTACAATTGGAGGCGGCAAATTCTAGCTTTTCTGGTGGTTATTGGTAACTCTCTGTATGGGATTTGCATACAAAGATCTGTTTCATATATGAATATTCTGTGGCTTTTTTTGGAAGATATACCGTTTTGTAAAGCACTAGTGAGGACTGGAATTAAATGTCTTAGTTTGAGATGCTTTTGGTTTTCAAGTATGAAGGGGTTTTCACAGCTATACTCGTATGTGGTTTATCAATTTTTATGTAAGTGCTGATACGGATTTTTCTTGGATTTATGCACTTTGAAACTGTAGATTGGTTCGTTGCTTTTGTATACTAATATTGAATGATAAAAAAATGATTATTGATCGAACGTAGAAACTCCTCCCAAATTATTTTTAGGAAGTTTATACGGAGTACAGAGTTCTCTGAAGAAAATGTTAGGGCTTATGTAAGCAGATAAGTATTTTTATTTCATCGCATTTTTCTGTGTTTGATTGGTCCTGTTTTGTGATAGTTTGTCTGACTAGTTGATAATTGCCTCTTTATTTATTTAGTTTGATATATAAACACAGGTTTATGTAAATTCTGGTCGATCTAAGTGTTGTTCAACATTATATTTTTACATTTTTTTTATGCATCAGTGGAACAGGTCAATAATTACGTTTTAACATTTGTAATTTGAAATATAGCTCCAAGTCACTCTTCAGCTAAAGTGGATGAAAAACACGCTCGTAAAATATAGCAAACCGCGGGAAGACTTGTGGTGTAGCATTTTCTAAGACTCCAACTTTTGATTTGATTTTATTCAAACTAAATTCAGCAATGAAGTCGTATTTTGTTTGTTTTTCTTTTCCTTCATTCTTATCCGATGGATCATATAAAATAGTACTCCACTGTAGTAGGTTTTTGTAGGCTTATCTTTTTGTCGGCCGAGTCAAAAGCGCCCAAGAACATGCATTTGAGCATTTATATTTTCGAACTTGATATTTCCAAAATCTCGAAGATCTTCAAATTTGAATTTTATATTTTGCGCCCGCCGCCAATTTAGGACGGAACAAATAGCCCGTGATGTATGTGTTTGTTTGTGTACTACCTAGCTTATTTGACCGAGTTTTGAGATCGTGACATGAACTTAGCTCTATTTATAGTATTGTTAGATGTTAATTGTTATCCGTGACAGATTTTGGTTTCGAACAACTTGTAGTTGGGTGCTTGGAGCGTTGCATAAATCCTGGATTTTGTTAGTTGTTGACAAATCATGTCCAGATAACATGGAAATGAGTTTTAAGGTAGGTGTGCTTTTAAAAAGTTAAAAGAGATCTAATTTCGAACACACAGTTTTGCTATGGAGCCATGGGATGGCTCGACTTATGGAGCTATACACACTTATTAACCAATAGTATATTGACACGTGTCCTGCAATAAATACACTTTGGACAAGTGTCAATACATTAATTGGTGGATGGTTCTATAAGAAAATCATCCGCTGACTCCATAAAATTTTTGTTTCAACACATAGGATTCAAGTTTACAACAATGAAAAATATAACTCTTAAAAGTTTAAGAGCGTAGACTTCAATGTCAGAATGAGTTTTCAACGCTACAACGACAGAATGGAAGATCGTTAAAATGATTTCAACAGTATATGTATATCATTGGATCCCAAACATGAACTTTTCAATAGTACGCCTTTGGATCGTCAAGATGGAGAATTGGTAAAATGGAGTTTTCAATCGTACATTCTTGGATGACATAATAGAGCTTTAAACAGTACGACTTTTTTTTTTAATATTTTTTTTTAATTTTTTGTAATTTATTAAATAACTTTATAATCGCAACAAGTTTCTTCTTATTTTGCTTTGTTTGACTTTTTGTTGGTTATTTAATGAGTTTAATTTGTTAAATAACTTCATAATTTGGTTGTTACGTGATGTATGAATTTCGAAATTTTTTGAAAACAATTTCATATAAGAAAATACAACAAAATAAATAAAAATGTTAAAAAAAAAATCATGAAAATGTGATAAGAATTTCAATATCTCTATTAATTTTTCATATTTTTACAAATTATTCTCCTTAGTATTTCTTTTAGTGAAATGTTGAACCAAAATTGTAATGATATCTCACTAAAAGAAACATCTTGGTTTGGCATTTTAATAAATACTTGATTGATGTTTTAGCAAATAAATATAATTTTGTTGTGTTTAATTATATTATTTAGTCCAAAACAATGAGAACCAAAATAATAATATAAAATTGATGTTTACACTACTTTAATGCTCTATAATAAGAATTGAGATAAGGTTGACGTTGATGATCAACACCCTTAACTCAATTCATGTCAAGATATTGGAGGTCCTTCACGTGTTTGTAAATAAAATAACTCAATCTATACTCAATTCACATTCGAAATCTATCTCTATCCTAACTTCACTATCATTAATATAATTAAATAATATCAATTAATTATTTTACATATACTGGAGGTTCTTCATGTGTTTATATATAAAATAACTCAATACATACACAATTCATACTCGAAATCGAACTCTAACTTAACCCGACTATCATCAATATTATCAATATAATTAAATAATATCAACTAATCATATCAATTTTAATCCACTCACAAAATTTTAACTAACTATCACTTCACATTATCTCTCTCCTACTTTTACAACAAATCAATTTTAATTATTATATTTTAAATATTATTTTAATATAAATTTAAAATCTCACTAACAACTAATTATATTATTTTTTTTAAATAATCAAAATTAATAAAAAAATTTATTTTGAGCGAATATATTTATATTCAACCAAGCCTAATTTAGTGCCATTGTGTCAATGTTTAAGTGCCATTGTGTCAATGTTTTCCATATTGATGAGCCCAAAAATCTGGAAATTCAAAATTGTGGTGCATCCACACCAACTTATTATAACATTAAACCCCAACAATCATTATACTTTTGAAAATCTTCAGTTTGAAAGCCCCAGCTTAACTCAACCTGAGTGTGCTAATCATACTATAGCTCTGCAAACTTGAACAAAATCTTCAACAAAGATTAAAAGAATCAATGAATTAATTATAAGCCAATAGAATTTTGTACAATATTTCCTAATATCCCCTGCTCTCTATCCTATCAAACCTCATAGTTTTATCATTCGAATCTATCTACCGATAATNCCTAAATCGCATATCAACTAAACAAATAACAACCCGACACCATCGTTCGAACATTGAGTCCCAATACTCAGCCTCAATTCTTCAGTTATGCACACTTCCAATATATCTCTACCCGAAAATCGACACACGAAAGCTTCCAAAGCTTGTTTCATCCAAGAATGAGAGCATACTTCTCTAGCCTCATTAACCGTCATCTACACACAAAAACAAACATTTAAATTTCTCGCATTTTGAAAATGAATGTCTTTGACAGGTTTTTATTATAGGAAAATGCTACAATCCCGTTACGGAACCATTCCGTTGGGATTGTAACCGTTAGATCATCAAGTAACCGTAAATGATAATTGATCTAACGGTTACAAATCCCAACGGAATGGTTCCGTAACGGGATTGTAGCCTTACCCTTTAGTATAACATACCCAAACTCGGCTACGCAAGTCTTTTTCGGGCCAAACTTGTAATTCCTCGGTAACAAGCATAGCAAACATTGACCCCTCGTGAAATTTTTCTTGACTCTTGCTCTTGAATATCCATTCACCTAATTTTTCCTGCACCACAAAGCCAATTTTAGAAAAAAAAAAAAAAAAAAGATTGAATTTTTAGTATTTGATACATTATTGTTTATTGAAAAATGTACTTACCCCGACTGAGCCGACTACACCGGCTTCCTCTAATGTTTCTCTTAAAGCGGCTAATTCGATATCTTCATCTACTTCCCAACCTCCCTGAAGAATTAAATTCATATTAATACAATTTCTTTTATATATATAGAGTTTTTTTATTATTATTATTATTATTATTACCTTAGGGAACATCATTTTTGAACTCTTTTGGGAGCTGATTAAAAGGACCTCCAAATCTTCAACCAATGTATTACTTCCGTTGACTGAGGTTGACTTGTTGGATTTTCTGATTCTGTACGGAATACATCTGCGGAAAAATGGAAATCCAAAACATTAGTCATAATTTGTAACATAATTGTCCCAAAATATGAAATGAATATCTCAAATAGTTAAAATTTCATGGCCCTATTCATTTCTTTGTCATCTATTTGCACCTTATTGCTAATCAGATTTTTATTTTTTTCCAAAAAAAGATGGAAAAAGAAAAAAACCAGACAACCTGAAATGGATCCAATAACAGGACAAGAAAGGAGAAAAAAGTAAAAATAAAATTCAAAAGCCTAAAAAGTTACATACCCAACAACCTGACGAAATCCTTGATTATAACGCTGCAAATGTCTGCCTGAACGAGAAGGCGACGAGGCCAGCTGCTTGATTTGCATAGTCATTTCACAAATTTAAGTCTACAAATTATTATGTTCTGTTTTTTTCCCCCTAACCTCAACAAAAATAAATAAAATTCAATTNAAAAAAAAAAAAATGAACGAGGAAGTCCAAGAAACGCAGATCTTTTTATTTCAAGAAGTTATAATTAAACCTCCACCATAAATAATTGTTGGATGAGAATTTTGTAAATCTGGCCGAATTGAAATGGCTTGTCCACCGCTTTATATAGAGAAAATGAAAAAAAAAGAAAGAGAACCAAAATGGCTTGTTACAACTACAAAACATAATGATTGGCTGTATTTTTTCTCGTCACAATCCGTGTGAGAAAATAGTTTACCAGTAAGATTTTATTTTATTACAATAATATATTATATAATATACTTTGAATGTCCACATAGTTGGGTTGTGGTGTTGTCGTGTAACGCGTCTGCAAAGTCGCTTTCCATGTTGAAGGAAAGGTCTCACCATCATGCGCATTAATTAAAATTTAAATGTGCAATTTCATGTGGCTTTCTTAGTTGATGATATCTTTGGCCACTTGGGAATTGGGAGTTTACTGAGATGCTTATTTAATATGCAATTTGGTCTTTCCATGCGATAACGACACTTTTTTTGTCTTTCTTTATGATATCTTTGCATACATAATCTATATTTACTAATACGTAACCCGTGCGATACACGGGCTGTATTTTTTTTAATATATTATAAATTAAAGTGTATTAATAAATAAAATGGTGAAATATTATAAATTAAAATGTATTAATAAATAAAAAAGTGATAATACGTAGGCAAGTTGTCAAATAATAAAAATGTTTTTCAAGAAAAAATAATAGGTAATTAAAAACTTATTTGTACACAATATTGTTAGTTTGAGTACTGGAAAACCCGTCGTCCTACAAACTAATATTTTCAAGTCATTACTATTACTTACAAACGAAAAAACAACATATAATTTGTCATGACTTAAAATGGACTTTCTTTATCATCATGCATACAAAACTATAAGTAGGAACTGGTACCGCTGGAACTTAAATGGAAGCATAAGATCAGAAGGATTTATTTCATATGATAATTTACATGGTAGTTCGACAAATGCTATTAGCTTATTATTTTAAATCGATTATACTTGATTAGCTAAAAAATATTTACTAATAGTTTTATACTTTTTTTTAAAAAATATTTTGTAAGTAAAACATGTTTTAAAACACTTAAATTTTAAAACACATATTTAATGTTCTTTTATTTAATTAAAAAAGTATATGTATATATATATATATACCTTAATCTAAAGGATGTGTAAAATAATTGCACAAATAAGATGTTTACAAATATATAAAATATTAAAATCTGAATAATATGTATTACCGTCTTAAGAAAATATTAGTAATTATATGCATTAATAATATATATTACCGACAAAAACAAACATAAACTGAAACCCTAATTATATAGAAATTATGCATTAATGATTTATTGTTTTATTTAAACTTATATTATATTATTTCTATCTATAGTAAGTAATTAATGTCTTTAGCAGGAAATTCTTTTTAAAGTTAAATTAACCTTATTTTATTTTAAATATATAAATTTTGTTATGATCTTATCCTATATACAATATTTATATTACTTTAGATAATGATGATTTCCGTTTTCTTTTCCAACTGATTATATGTTTCCTTAAATTTAAGATATATCAATTGGAACAATATGGTATGCTTTTATTTTGTATATTTTAATAAAAAGTAATATAAGCTCCGATTTAGGAATAGAGACATGATATTATTTGTAATTTTGAAAAAAAAAATCACTTTCATATAGAAAGGAAATATAAGATTTCACAAAATCGTTTTTGTGTTTAAGAAAGAATTTAATATTGTTGGACTTCTATGAATCATTAAAATATAGAAATCTTTTAAATCATTTGGATTAGTTACGTGTTTATTTTAAACAACTAATAGTATTTTAGATAGTTTGGATTTTAAGAATCCCAAAAATGTTCTTATCTAATTCATATTTAAATTCGTTTGAAAATGTGTACGGCATACTTCAAATTGAAAAACAATCCTAGAGTTTACACACAGGCACCATTCACATTTTTTTGAGAGATCAAATTTTCACATACTGCAGGACCATTCATAGTATCATATGAACTAAATACCCATATATTGATGCAGTGGAAAACAAACTACAAAAACAAAGTAACAAAAGAAGACCAATCCCATTCCATATTATATACATCAATCGAACAACAAAAAACGTTACTTTAATCGAACGATAATACCATACATTACATCACATAAGATAATCGGATGTTCAATAATATATCAATGTTCGACTGATCAGATTTTTTCCTCCTGAGAACGAAAACCCAAGTGATCGCCTCCAAAAATACGAAAATACCACCCAAAATTGAGATCAAGACAATATACGCAGTTTTCCACTTGTTTTCGGGCTGTAAAATGCCGAGACCTTTGAACACATTGATGACTCCGAGGATTAGAATTGTATATCCTATCCCGTGGCGGTAGATATTCCAATAAAATCGAATTTTGTGTTCTTTGTCGGGTCTCAACAGCAAGGCAAATATCTATGTATGATGATGCGAAACATAGAACAAAACAACCACATATTAGCAAAAATGGGATCACCATATTCAGAAATAAAATGGGCTTAGAGTTAAAATGATCTCTAATCGTCATTCTATATTCAAATGATTCAATTAAAAGCAACAGAACCTGTCTTGCATGCACCTAAGAGTTACCGCAGCTTGTTTACGAACCTGTCTGCCTCGGACTATGGCTTGGAGCCTCACCAATCCTTTTAATGCCCTTAAAGCCCTTCTTGCCTAATGAAAATCCCCCCATCAACATTTCATTACAAATTCAATACACAAAAGCCACCAAAACTCAAGCAGGCAAAGAAAATCAAAAGGTGAGATTTTTCTGTGTCACATTATTTTAATCAACTCCCAATTGCAACATAAAGAGCCAAGAAACCAAAAGGTGAGATTTTTTTTTCTTTTGCTTTTCTCAACTGAACCAATCCAAACAGCAAATCTCACATAAAAGAAGAATGCAAACAAATAAATGAACATTTTTTTTTATTCAACTTAAGAAATACTGACCAAAAATTTTCTAATGGCGGCCCTTCAAATTCAGATTATGCACAACAATGCAAATTTTTACAGACAATGCAAACATCTCTTTCCCAAACACAATGCAAATTTTTACAGACAATGAGAATCGAAAAGCATTTTCAGAATGTTTAATGAATCACTACATATTATTACTATAATGTACTGTCAAGTATTCAAATATAATGTATATCTAAATTTCAAATTCTTGCATGATTTCATTTCATCAAATACAAAGACATCTACAGATTTTTAGAATAATAATAACCATAAACTTTTACCAGTTCAATATTCAAAACATTCATTTTACAACATTTTACAACATTTTATAACTTACTAAAATTTCTTTAAGATCAGCAAGAGTAGCCTCCAAATGCTTGCGGCAGTCAAAAACCACCATCCTTGATTCAGCCACACATTTTCTTGAAAAATATATATCAACATAGAAGTTTTACCAATCAAATAAAGAAAAAGCAAAGTACATGCTGCACACGGTCCCCATGGACTTGAAAACATCCAATTCCATCTTTAGAAAATAGTTGTAGATATTAAGACAAAAATGAAAAGACAGAACACAGTTCCATTTGATCAAGCTGCCCAAAAAATTACATCAATAGACTAAGTATATGCTGCAATTTTGTGTTCCTCGATTGAGTTACATGATAGCTTCCATTAGCCATATCTAGATATCAATGACACAAACATATATTTAGAAAAAGAAGTGCAAGGTTTCAGTAATGTCAGGAAATTGAACAATATGCAAGGTTTCAAAAGGTTTAGCTGGGCCCGGGAACGGCTCGCCTGATCCACTTTCTTTCTATAAGCATCCAAACACTCTTGCTCAAGTTCAAAAAGCATTTTGTCCCTTCCGTTATCAGCTTCCCCAATTTCATCCCATATTTTCTGGTGCAAGTAAGAATTGTGATAGATAATGAAAAATTTAAGTGCACAAAGAGAAAAAACAACTATGTATTCACTATACATATGAGGTACTTAAAAACTATAATCAAAGGTAACTTGTAGCTCAAATAGAAGAGATCCACAAGTTGTTCCCATTTCTAACGCCGATCTGTGTTCCAGTTATTTGAAGCCTTCTGTCCTGTATTTGCCGAGGGTGTGTGCTTTTCCCCCATACAATGTGCTCCAACCATCTCACAAAGCTTCTCCACAAATTCTAATAAATTTCTTCTGCAGGCTAGCTACTTATGTTGTTTTTCTTACTACCCCATTTGTGAAAATATTAAATATATTGATTACAACTTACAAGACAAGGGTTGCTGAGTAATTATAGATTCGGGCTTTAAAGGCTTTCGGTATATATAATCTCTCACTACTGATGGTGGGGTAGAGATGTTAATATATTCAAAGTAGCATGGGATAAATAGGTGGCCATCCACTTGCTGCATTCCTCCTAACCCTTTTTATTAGTATTTTTCTTCTTTCTAGCACATAATGATTTACCAAAGAAAATCAAACAAAAGAAAGAACACATCAAGAAATAGCCTCGAAAGTAACAAAAACCATTCTACATAACCGATACCTTTATTTTTTGAGAAATCCACAACCCAACATCTTGAGCGGCTTGTTTCTTGAAGCAATTTTCTCTTTTTTTGCTGTAAGAAGTTCTTGTCCTGCTCCTTCTGCAATAACAATGACCATATGCTCATTTACTTTGATTGTTTTCTTTCCTTATAAATTATTCGTGTTATAGAGAACATAGGACGGGCAAATGATTGAACTATTTAAAAAAAAAATAAAAAAACATGTTCCATGATATTCACTTCAACTACCGAGCTTTGTAAAAACCCCTGTAGAAAAGAACAACATACAAATGAGTCTTACAAATGTAACTTGTATATTTAATTTGTGATTAGACTAAATTAACAGGTAGCTTCTTTAATTGCCCAATATATTATAATGCCAAAGACTACAAGAATTACCTAAACAATGAAGATACTCAAGGCCAATGACAACTTCTGCTGCATAAAATCTGCAAGTTAATGATGAAACATTTATTTGAAGGTCAGAGAATACTTAACACACATCAATATCCACTATTAGTCCACCAACTCTTCAGGAAGAAAAAAATGACTATAAGTTTAACCAAATACCTGGCTGAGTCCTCTCTAAACATTATCAAGGACTGATTGTCGAGCAACGCAAAAAACTCTCCTCAAGGACAGAAATCCGTTATCAAGCAAACATGTGTAGGTGTCGAGCATGCATAAATGCCACGTCATCCTCAGGCAGGACGAATCATTGGCCCACAAAATGTCGATTCTCGGGGTTGTCCGGATCAGATCGAAGTCTGAAGCAGATCTGCATATCGCCACTATCGTCTTTCGACGCAGTCGGCGTTTACCATATCTCCATCCCACGCACCCCACTTTGCAGTCCTTTCTCAATAACAGCAAATTGACGGCGCACGAAATTAGACTGTCCAACAATCTGGCAACACGAGGCCTCAGGCGACTGCTCCGTCTCGATTGATATAAGTCGTTGCTCTGATTGAATATTTTAATTCGAAATCCCTATTTAATTAGCACGCTCACATTGAAATCAAAGGTAACCTGTAGCTCAAATAGAAGAGATCCACAAGTTGTTCCCATTTCTAACGCCGATCTGTGTTCCAGTTATTTGAAGCCTTCTGTCCAGTATTGACGGAAAATATGCAAAAATCACATGCCTAGAACAAAGATTGAGGGGAAACGAATATACACTATACTGGGAAATAATCCATCACAAACACAAACATTACATGACATAATATAGTAAGCGAAAAAAAAAAAAAAAACTAAGCATGAAAACACCATCTTCCTTAACTAAAACACAGAATAATGATTGTCATAAAGCATTGATCGGATACCCAGTCCAAAATTATTAGTCGGGTACCTTCGACCTGCACTATTCATCAATCTTCATGGAGAAACCGATATAAAGTCATTTACCCTGTCTCTTTACCTTATCTCGTCGCCTCAGTCATATTTCATTGCCGCCGCTTACAGGGCGCTGAACTCGTCGGCGTCAATCTTCCCGATGATCGCCCGCAACTTCTCCTCCGTCACGCAAAATCCCGAGATTCTCTAGCGACTAATTGGAGATTGATGCCGACGGGGAAGCTGATTGAGCTCCGTTGTGCGTATATCCTCATGTCGAGCCCTAGTTGGAGAAATTGTTTGGAAGCAATTTGTTTTGATCTGATTTTGGGAGATTTGGTTTTCGGAGAATTAGGAGAGATGGAGAGAAATAGTTGGGATCAGATTTTATGGGAGATGCGAGAATAATTAGATTGATTTTGATCGGTTCCACCAATTAATTTTGAAAGAGATTTTCTTGCTCCATCTCAATCGGATTTCACGTTTTAATTTTAAAACATTGCCATATTCCCCTAACTAATACAGATAAATAAGGAGATTCAGCCGCAATATGGAATCAAAATTTCAAATCACAAATTTGAAATGCACATTTTAAAGGGTTGCCAAAATGAGTAAGTCAATAATGTTGACTGCGAATTTTTTAAAACTTTCCCAAAAATATTTATTGACCTCTCTTTTTCAATATATATAGATATAATAAGAATTGACATTTATCCAAATTAGTAGGTCAAATTATGGTCAATGTTGGATTTGCATTAAATATTTTCCAAAATCGGTAAGTTTTTGTCATTTTCACACTTCTCATTAATTATGTCCTTTTCACACTTCTCATTAATTATGTCCTTTTTACACTTCTCATTAATTATGTCCTTTTCACACATCTAATTTATTCATTAATTACGACATAATTATCATAAATCATTCCATTTGAGCTTTTATCGTTAAAATGTATAGCGATCTGTTATGACCTTATCCCATTGATATTTCCCTGAAGCGTCCTTATCGCGTTCTATTTTTTAATAACCACTCTATATCAATAACCGGATATTTGGTTAATGATAGCACACGTCTTTATTTCAAGGAGCAGATATTCTTTGACCTTTAATTAATCTGAACTGATTGCCTTGACTTTTCAATATTTAAAAACTTTTTTTTAAATATTTCGGCTTAAGATTCGAATTTCATTATACAAGTCATCGGATTGTTTGAATGAAAATAAATGAAAAGAACACAAAAAACAGGTAGCCTTATTCATATAACCAATCCTAAAATATTAGTTTGTTCACCAAAAAGAGACAAATCCTAGAAATCCTAAAATATTAGTTTGTTCACCAATCCTAAAATATTATTTTGTTCACCAAAAATATTAGTTTGATTTTTAGGATTTGTCTCTTTTGAAAATATTAGTTTGTGATAATGAGGAGTTACCAAATAATCAAACTCATAATGTTGTGTACAAGGAGATTTTTAATAATATATGATTGTTACCGAACTTTTTATGATTCAACAATGTTCCTATGTATTTTAATGATTTCAATTTCCATCCTAATGCACATGAGGTTATATTATTCTTCCAAATTTTACTTCCCGTGCATCGCACGGGTTACGTACTAGTTAATATCATTTCATATTTGATTTTTTCGAGGTGCAAAGGGCTATTTAGGAGAAGAATGAGTGTTTCAAGCACCTCCACCTTGACAAGAGTGCAACCAACATTGAGAGCTATAAAATAGCGAGAAGGGCTACAAAGCGTGCCGTGAGTGTAGCGAAGGGTCAGACCTATGATGACCTTTATCAGCGCCTAGGCACGAAGGAGGGGGAGAAGGACATTTATAGGATGGCTAAGATTCTGGAGAGGAAGACAAGGGACATCAACCAAATCAACTGCATTAAGGATGGGTCGGATCGGCCACTGGCGAAGGATGGGGAGATCAAGGACAGATGGCGAGAGTACTTCGACAAATTGTTTAATGGGGAGAGTGAGGGTCCTACCTTGAAGTTGGATGACTCATTTGAGGAGACCAATAGACGCGTGGTGAGAAGAATTCGGGAGGCAGAGATCGGAGAGGCTATGAAGAGGATGAAGGGAGGTAAAGCAATGGGTCCTGATGGTATCCCCATTGAGGTGTGGAGATGCTTGGGCGCCAGAGCGTTAGCATGGCTAACTAAACTTTTTAACCTCATTTTCCAGTCAAACAAGATGCCTGATGAATGGAGGAGAAGTACTTTAGTACCGATCTTCAAGAACAAGGGAGATGTTCAAAGCTGTGGTAACTACCGTGGGATTAAGTTGATGAGCCATACGAAGCTCTGGAAGAGGGTTATCGAGCATCGCCTACGACGAGTGACGAGTGTGACCCAAAACCAATTTGGGTTCATGCCTGGAAGGTCGACCATGGAGGCGATTTTCCTAATACGACAGTTGACGGAGAGATATAAAACTTGCACATGGTCTTTATCGATCTTGAGAAGGCTTATGACAGAGTACCGAGAAATGTCATGTGGTGGGCCTTAGAAAAGCACAAAGTCCCATCTAAGTACATTACCCTCATCAAGGATATGTACAAGGATGCAATGACGTGTGTCCGAACATGTGGGGGCGACACCAGCGACTTCCCAATTAAAATAGGACTACACCAGGGGTCAACATTGAGCCCTTACCTATTTGCCTTGGTGATGGATGAGGTCACAAGGGACATACAAGGTGATATCCCTTGGTGTATGCTCTTTGCTGATGATGTGGTGCTAGTTGACGAGAGTAGAGCAGGGGTAAATAGGAAGTTGAAGCTGTGGAAGGACGTGTTAGAGTCGAAAGGCTTCAGACTTAGTAGGACGAAGACCGAGTACATGACGTGCGCTTTCAGCATGGCTTCACATGATGATGGTGATGTTACCCTTGACGGGCAAGTGGTGGCCAAGAAGGAGACTTTCCGGTATTTGGGATCGATGCTACAAAAGGATAGCGGCATTGATGCTGATGTTAGGCATAGAATTGCAGCCGGTTGGTTGAAATGGCGTCAGGCGTCGGACGTTCTCTGTGATAAGAGGGTGCCACAAAGGCTGAAAGGTAAGTTCTATAGGACGGCGATTCGCCCGGCGATGCTATACGGTGCTGAATGTTGGCCTACAAAAAGGCAACACGTCCAACAACTAAGTGTAGAAGAGATGCGTATGTTGCGTTGGTTCTGCGGACACACAAGAAGGGATAGAATCCGGAACGAGGATATTCGAGATAGGGTCGGGGTGGCTCTAATTGAGGAGAAATTGGTTCAACATCGGCTGAGGTGGTTCGGACATGTCCAACGGAGGCCTCCTGATGCACCGGTGCGTAGGGGAGTTCTACAGCGGGTCGAGGATGTTAAGAGAGGTAGAGGTCGGCCTAAACTCACTTGGGAAGAGTCAGTTAAGAGAGACCTTAAAGATTGGAATATCTCTAAGGATTTAGCGGTGGATAGGAGCGCTTGGAGGCTCGCTATTAACATGCCAGAACCGTGACTTTGGCTCCTTCCTCTCTCTCTCTCTCTCTCTCTCTCTCTCTCTCTCTCTTTTTTCGATCTATTCCTTTTGGTTCGAGTCTTTTTGTGTTTCTCTTGGGTTTCATCTCTAGCCTACCCCGACTTGGTTGGGACTAAAGGCTATATTGTTGTTGTTGTTGTTGTTGTTGTTGTTGTTGTTGCGTTGGTATCTCGTGCATTATAATCGTATTTCTATGTGCCAAATTATGGAGGTCGGGAGTAATTAATATAGATTTAAATTTTTATTCATACCTATTAAAATTTTAAAATTATAAAATATTTGTTTAACTTTTTTATTTGTTATTAATCTTGCGTTACTACTTTGGGAGGGGGGAGGAAAATCAGGTCGAAATACTCACCATCAAGCCAAGGATCCAAGACTAAATGGAAGATCATTGAGACGGGGAATAGGGCACGTTCTGTTGGGAAAAATACGCTGAATTTTCCATGAAGTCGGATCTATAAAAGTGAAATAAAAAATAAATATTGGACACCCCAAATTGATAATGGATTTTGGCCAGTAATGCCTACGTCTCCGGACTACAGCAGATATTTTATTAGGAAGAAAAATACACTCGTGTTTACAAAACACTCTCAAACTCACTCACAACTCACAACTCAAATACACACAGAAGCTAAATTCTTGCTTCTTGATCACACCCTTTTTCTCTCCTTTTTTTTTTCTCTCGTTCTTGGTGTTTTTCTTTTTGGTTGTGTTATCTGAAGCCCTCATTTGCCTTGTATTTATAGTGGAAGAGTTCATTAATTTGTCCACAAATTGATCACGTCCAGCAGCAAAAATAAAGGCATTCACACCTTCAGCAGCAATAATTAATGCCTTCACATGCATTTTTCAACAAAAGGATGTTTCATTTTTTGCTCTTCCTTTGTGTGCTGTCAAAAGAAATGGGCGCAACCCTTATTTTGATTCAATAATCTCCCACTTGAGGACTGATTTCAATCTGTCCTCACACCTCAATTACTGCAGTAGTCTTCTCAGGTCTGTTATCCTAGCAAGCCAACTGAAGTTGAGCACAACTTTAATTTGTCAATGGTCACCACCTTCGTTAGCATATCTGTCGGGTTCTTGCTTCCTACAATTTTCTTCAAAGTCAACACTTCATCCTCAAGAAGAGATCTGATGAAATGATAACGTATATCAATGTGCTTAGTTCTGGAGTGAATCACTGAGTTCTTTGCCAGATATATTGCACTCTGACTGTCACTGTGCAAGACACTCTCTTTTTGAGTAAAACCCAACTCTGCTGACAATCCTTGAAGCCATATCAATTCTTTACTGGCTTCTGTCACTGCTACATATTCAGCCTCAGTAGTGGATAGAGCAACAATCTTTTGTATTCGTGACATCCAACTAATAGCTGTAGCTCCGACAGTGAAAACATAACCGGTGGTGCTTCTTCGGTTATCAACTTCACCTCCAAAGTCTACTTCTACATAGCCCTGTAACTTTAGATCTCCTTTTCTAAAGTACAAACATTTTTCTGTTGTGCCACGTAGATATCTCAAGATCCATTTGACTGCTTCCCAATGAGCTTTTCCTGGATTTGACATAAACCTGCTAACAACTCCCACTGCATGACCAATGTCTGTCCTCGTACAGACCATCGCGTATATCAAACTTCCAATGGCTGAAGCATAAGGAATCTTAGCCATAAACTTTTCTTCTTTTGTTTGAGGAGAATGATCCTTGGATAGACGAAAATGACTGGCCAAAGGTGTATTGACTGGTTTGACCTTGTCCATGTTAAATCTTTGCAAAACACGGTTGATGTACTCCGCCTGAGATAACTGCAAAACTCCCTTTTGCTTATCTCTCGTGATTTGCATTCCAAGAATCTTCTTTGCTGGGCCTAAGTCCTTCATGTCAAATTCTTTTGACAACTCATCTTTAATTTTCTGATGTCCTTCATATTTAATCCTGCTACTAACATGTCATCGACATAAAGTAGCAAGATGATATAGCTTGACTCATACTTATTAAAGAAGCAACAGTGATCGACATTGCACTTCTGGAATCCTTCCTTGTGCATGAAGCTTTCAAACTTCCTATACCACTGTCTTGGAGCTTGTTTCAAGCCGTACAAGCTCTTCTTCAATTTTCACACCATATCCTTCTTTCCATCTGAAAAACCTTCAGGCTGGTGCATATAGATCTCCTCATTTAGGTCTTCGTGAAGAAATGCAGTCTTCACGTCTAATTGCTCTAGGTAGAGCTCTTCACTAGCCACAATACTTAACACAATTCTGATAGTATTGAGCTTTACAACTGGAGCAAAATTTCAGTGTAGTCAACTCCTTCTTTCTGCTGAAATCCTTTGACAACCAGTCGGGCTTTGTATCTTCTAGAACCATCATGGTCTTCCTTTACCCGATACACCCATTTGTTGTGAAGTGCTTTCTTTCCCATAGGTAACATGACTAGTTCCCATGTCTGATTTGAGATTAAGGACTTCATCTCGTCCTTCATGGCAAGCTCCCACTTGCTAGCATCCGTGGTTTGACAAGCTTCCATGTAACTTTCAGGCTCCCCTCCATCAGTCAACAGCATGTAGTCCATGTATCTCCTGTTAGGCACATGGGGCCGAGAGGACCTTCTCAACACATGAGCTGAAGTAGGAGATTCTGATTGCACATCACTTTCTTCATTTGATTCCTCTGACTGAGGACTCCTCATTATAGGACTATCTGGGATATCTTCCACATCTGCATAAACTGGCCCACTCGTTTCTGAGTTGCTGGCACCTGTATTATGCCGGTCCTTGTACATCACTCTTTCATTAAAGATGACATCTCTGCTGCGGATCATCTTGTTGTTTTCATCATCCCATATGCGGTAGCCAAACTCATCTTCACCATAACCAAGGAAAGTACATTTCTTTGATTTTGGATCAAGTTTGTTTCTACCTTGATCACTGATGTGCACATATACTACACACTCGAAAATTCTAAGATGTGAGAGTTTTACTTCTTTTCTGCTCCATACCTCTAATGGTAACTTGTGATCCAATGGTACCGATGGACTTCGGTTGATCAAGTAAGTTGCTGTGTTGACTGCTTCTGCCCAGAACTGCTTTGGTAGACCTCACTGCACACGCAAGCTTCTGGCTCTTTCAGTCAATGATTGATTCATACGCTTAGCTACACCATTGTGTTAAGGCGTACCAGACACGGTTCTCTCCATTTTGATCCCGTGCTCATAGCAAAACTTCTTGAATCTGGTGGTTACGTATTCACCACCATTGTCGGATCTGAGCTTCTTGATCTTCAAGCCTGTCTCATTTTCCACCATAGCTTTCTAAATCTTGAGAGCTTCAAATACTTCTGACTTGTGTTTCAGAAAGTAAACCCATACTTTTCTAGAGTGATCATCGATAAAAGTCACGAAGTATTGCTTCCCACCAATGAATGGGACAGTCGTTGGACCCCAAACATCAGAGTGGACGAGCTCAAGCTTCTCCTTCTTTGGGGTTCTTCTACTTGTCTGAAAGCTGACTCTCTTATGCTTTCCAAGTATACAATCTTCACATATGTCAATTTCTATTGACTGAAGGCCCGGTAATTTCCTTTTGTGTGCATGATCTTCATCCCTTTTTCACTCATATGCCCAAGTCTTTGGTACCATAGATTGGGATTTTCATTTGCTGCAACTGCAATCAGATGACATGCTCCTGTTGTCTTGTAAAGAGTACCACTCTTTTTGCCTCGAGCAACAGTCATCGCACCCTTTGAAATCTTCCAATCATCACCATGGAAGATTGTCGTGTAGCCTTCACAAGCTAGGTGACCCACGGAGATTAAATTCTTCGTCAGGTCGGGAATATGTCTGACATTTTTCAATTCCCATACAGACCCGTTCAACTTTATTATTATTCCACCTTTCCCTACAACCTCACATGATTGCTCATTACCAAGGTAAACTTTATCAAGATTTCCAAGAACATAATTCTCGAATAGTTCCTTCTGTGAGGTAGCATGAAAGGATGCTCCAGAGTCTAACACCCAAGACTCATCCTTGTTCTCTAAAGAATATATCAGCGAATCTCCTCCAGAGGTTGAAGCAATATTTGCCTCTTCTTTTGCCTCATGTCCCTTCGGTGCACTCTTGCACTGGTTTCTGTAGTGCCCGGTCTTCCCACAATTCCAGCACTCGATCGACTTCGAGGTTTGGGAACTACGATGATTTCTGGACTTGGATCTTCTTACATTTGATTTGCCGCATCGGGTTTCTTTGGTTGAACTTCTCCCTCTTAACTCTGTATGCAGTACAGAAGAGGTCGATGGTTCACCCAACTCTCTCCGCCGGATCTCTTCACTGAGAACCAAATTTTGAACATCATCAATCTCAACTTATTGCTTCCTGATGAGCTACTCACAGCCGTGACTGTAGCATTCCAACTTTCTGGTAGGGAAGACAAAAGTATTAAAGCCCGTACTTCATCATCGAACTCGATCTCAACTGAACTCAATTGGGTTGTGACGGTGTTGAGCTAATTGAGATGATGTGCCACCGAAGCACCTTCGGTCATCCGAAGGTTGAACAATCGCCTCATCAAATGAACTTTATTTGAGGCTGATGGTTTCTCGTACATGTTGAAAAGAGCCTTCATGAGTCCTGCTGTCATCTTTTCTTTTGCAATGTTAAAAGCAACATTACGGGATAACGTCAGCCTAATGGCTCCAAGAGCTTGTCTGTCAAGGAGACTCCATTCTTCCTCCTTCATGTCCTCTGGCTTCTTTCATGTGAGTGGTTGATACATATTCTTTTGGTACAGATAATCCTCGATCTGCATCTTCCAAAAGCCAAAGTCCGCACTATCGAACTTCTCAATTTTCATTTTTCCTTCATCTGCAGCCATCACTTCGTCTCTGATCTGACTTCACTGCCGGATCGTTTCGGATAATTTTTGTGAACGACCGTGTTTCAAAACACGTCGGTAAATAAATTTGTAGCGCCGAAAAATTTGACATATTTCCATTTTTCACTATTCACAGAATAGTAACCCACACAAAAAATACAGAATTAACAATCTGGCTCTGATACAACTTGCCATACTCTTGTTAGACTACACCTCGAGCCTCCAAGGATCTCGTGTCACATTTAATGCACCTGTCATGTCAATTAATGGTAAAGTTGTGCTGCACATGAACAGTAGAAGTTTAATTCACTATAAATACTCCTCGTATCTCATTCATGAGGGGGATCGAAGTTAGACAAAAGGAGAGAATGTTTCTCTTAACAAATAACTTATTTAACAGATGTGCCACCCGAGCAGATTAGTCGTCTGAGCTATCATCTTATTTATATTTTTATGCTTTATCCTATTCTAATTCCACCTCTGAAAAAAAAAGTAAAAATCATATATTTTTCGTTGTCCAAAATTCTCGAGCAACAATTTGGTGCTACAAGAAGGGCCTTATATTACTTGAGGCAATATTTGACTTGAAGAAACACCACTCATCTCGGTAATAAGATCGTCGTCATTTAGTCAAAGGGATCAACACGAAACATGCACCACTGAACAAATTCGTGGAGGAGCCTCCGCTATTTCACGACCTTGTTCAAAACTCAGACTTTATAAAAGTTTTTTCTAACCTCTAGAAGCAAATCTTATCGTTAACGTCAAAAACGCCGAAAACCCGGCTAAAAAATACCTCAATACCGTATTGAACAAAGGTAAGGAACCTGTCCAATCGAAGAATACCTCACAATCCCGTGATAACCATGTTAAGAACTTGAAAGGCAAGACCGTTGACCAAACTGAATAGGAGGAGACTGAAGAAAGCAGGTCGAAAACCAGTCTCCGAACTAGATCTACAATCCCTTCATTTTTTCATCGCCTTGGGAATAAGAAGACTAAACTTGACCTCGGGCAAAAAATCCTCAAAAATCGATCCACCAGACACGACGCTGATGAAGTTGTTGCCTTGCGAAAGAAGGTTGCCAAGATTGAGGCTCGACAGAAACAAGTCTACCGAACCTCATCACCTCCACTCTTATACACGATCAGTCCTCCTATAGACTCGGCCTCACCCCTATCATCTGTCATCCTACTTGATCCCCTACCGGACAAGATTAAGATACCTCAAATCGGGTTGTATGATGGTTGCTTGAACCCCAACTCCCACCTCGACATGTACACATCGTGGGTGGACTTGCGAGGAGCTGAAGATGCCCTTAGGTGCTGCATGATTTCCTTGACTTTGGGGCCCAAGGTGCAGAGGTGGTAACACTCTTTGTTCCCCCACTCTATCCAGAATTGGCAGCATCTCAGGTCGGCTTTCAAATTTCATTCATCGGGTCCCAAATGTGTACGATACCAAAGATGTCAATCACGAATATCGTGAAAGAAGCGAAGCAAAGTTTTAAGGACTACATCGCTCGTTTCAACGGACACGTACAAAACAATGAGTGGTGCCACCAGGAGATGTTGCTGTTGTCAACATATTATGGTTTATAACCAAACTCGATATTCAGCTGGTCGTTGTGTCAAATGAAACCCCAGACTTATCAGAAGTTTCTCTCCCGAGCACAGCAACACGTAATTGTTGAGGAGTCTATGTCAATATTGTCCTTTGAGATGCCGAGCAGCACATGCGTGAAGGGGAAAAAAGCGAAATCAGGTCGGGATTTGAAAAAAGATACTCGCAGTGCCCATGTCCGAGCCATGAGAAAAAAAAAACACAAAGAAGAAGTCAGAGAAAATTATCATGGGTTGTATTCAACAGGGGCCGCAGTGGTATATAAGGAGCTAAAAAACAACGTGATCATACCCGACCCAAAACCAATCAGAGCTATGCAGTGTCGTAACTTTATCTTAGCCTAATTAAAACTCAATAGAGATCCATTAGTTTGGAAATTTTCCCAGAACCTGGAAGAAAGGAAGATGGTCGACCAGATGGAGGCCCGAATATGAAGACAAGTGATATTTTGATGTGAATCTCAAGAGAGTGAGGAAACCGCTAAATGAAATCCTAATTTTTAGTTAGGGTTTCCGAGAAGTTCCTCTCGAGTTAAGAAACGTAGCCGCATGTCGCCAAACCGATTAGAACAAGTGATGGACGACCACAACCTAGGAGATCATCCCCAACTCGGCTCGTGAATACCAACCACAAAGGACCTATTGTATCAAGTAAGCAAATAAAGATCTGAGGGTACTGATGAACATGCACCTGACTGAGGGAACGCTCGTAAGGGAGCATGCTCTTCAGATCATGGCACAACTCAATGAGCTGGAGGTCCTAGGAATATTTATCTACGGGAAACCTAGGTTGATATTATGCTTCAGTCTCTGCCGAAAAGCTTTGATCAGTTTTGGTTGAACAATAACATGAATAAGATTTTATTATCTCTTTGGGAACTATTAGCAAAGCTTTAGTCGGCAATAGGCCTAATTTGTCAGAATACTCAGGCACTAGTCGCCGAGCAGGTGGGGCCTTTTTCTTCTAGGCCCAATAAGGGTAAGAAGAGGAAGAAGTATGCAGAAAGGTGAAGGCGCAAATGACAGCAATCACTCTGTGACCGGATCCTCCGGCTGTGGCAAAGAAAGCGAAAGGAAGATGCCACAAGTGCAACAAGTCAGAGTACTGGAAAGTCAACTGCCCTCTCCTCAAGAAGGGGCAAAGAAGGTAATTCTCAGGCTTTTGTTGTAGAAACATGTTTAGCGGTTGTGTCTACCAGTACCTGGTGTGTAACACTGGAGACTCTGATCATGTATGCAATTCTTTGCAGGGGTTCCAGGAAACCAGACAACTTACGAAATGAGAGATTACCGTCTACATGGGCAACGCTATGGCACTAGCAGCTTTGCAGTGGGATAGATTATTTTGCTTTTCAATATTACTAGTTTGGTTTTGAGACATTGCCTTTATGTTTCGAGTGTTAGAAAGAATCTTATTTCATTTTCTAAACTTGTTATGGATGATTTTTCTGCTTCGTTTAATGACAAGGTTAGTATTTGTTAAGAAAATCGTTTAATAAATTTTACCTTCGTGGCATTTTTTCTTCAATGAGCATTACATTTTCTGTGTAAGTTATCTATATATGTAATTGTTGGAAAATCATTTAATAGAACATATTTAATAGAACCTCTATAGCTTTTCCGCCAAAAACAGATAACATTCAATTATATCATCTATATCTACGTATATAATTATTAACAAAAAATTTAATAAAGCTATTCGTTATTATCCACCTTTTTTCGTTACAGTCCATTATTATTATTATTATTATTATTATTATTATTATTATTATTATAATTATAATAATAGTCCATTATTATTATTATTATTATTATAGTCCATTATTATTATTATTATTATTATTATTATTATTATTATAGTCCATTATTATTCTTATTATTATTATTATTATTACTACTACTACTACTACTACCACCACCCTATCCCATTACTGATAAAATATTTCCTTTATTGCAATTTTTTTGGATTAATTAAGAAAAAAATCCGTTACATTTTATATTTAATGGATTAATAGTTATATTTTTTTAAGTAAATTATTTTTTTTAATGTCATAGTGAAATTCTTAAAATCGCATAAGTAATTGTTATAGTAAATTTTGATATTTTTCAGCTAATTAATTGGTCGTTATCCCTCAAATTTGCAAAAGTTACATTATTTATTACATTTTATGCAATCAATGTAGTGTTTCACATGCAATCGAATAGTTATGTACTATTTATTTAACCAATGATCAATTTTTAAAATATAATTCATTATCTAACTTATAGTTCTAATATTAAATGCATAAATATAACTTATAATACTTTATTGAAAGTATAATATCATTATCTGACTTATAATTTTAATATTATATGCATACAAATAACTTTTAATACTTTATTTAAATATGTGCAAATGCACTTGGTCGAATACTAGTATATTTGTCAAAATGGGCTCACCGCTTTCTCCAATTCAGTGGAAGATATGTGGTTTGGGACCCATTTCTCTTTTTCCAATTCATTTTCACCTTAATTTGTTGCCTATATATACCTACTTGGTCATCCTCTCAAAAATCACAACACAAACTTACATACGATTTTTTTTTGTAACTTAGAGAGTTATGTGGGGTTTTCCATTGCCTAAAGGAAAGGATGAACATATCCACTCTATATGGGAAGGCTTTTGAAATAAATAGCTTCCACCAACTGAGGAATCACTTTGTACCTAAATTTTATCCAGTCTGAAGGGTTGACTACCGAGGATGACATAGTTATGATATTTCATATAATTTACAGAAGTTGTTTAGATCAAAATGGTCAAAATTTGACTTTTACAGAATGCTTTGTCATGTTCATGGTCTTGAAATACATATATCAAACATTTAAGTTTTTCTAGAACATGAAAACGCTGTTTTCGATATACACTTGAATACCATCTATCTTAACGACTACGATCGCGACATGGCCATTGAGGTATATTGAAATTAACTTGTTATGTTCATTTTTTATTACAAATTTTTATTACTCACTATTTCATATCATTTTTCTGTACGAACTTTTCAATACATTACTATCATAAGATTATAATTTTCATAAAACATTTTTTCAGTTTTGCCATTACCACACCATTATTTTGACAATCCTGAGCCTCTTTGAATAATTTTCGAATCACTACAGCTTGACTCATTTCCTGAAGAACTTTTAGCGAAGAGTTCAGCATAACTCTCGCACCCTTGACCAATTATATGAGGACTACCGGCCCGAAGAGCGACGTATAGTGGCTTGCAGAAGGAGCGGAAATTGACATTGTCGTTGCGTTGCTACTTTTTAAACATTGGTAGCCAGTTGGTACGTTATTATATTTGGCACTTTGCTATTTTATGTATTTTTTTAACATTTAATATAATGTTGAAGTTGAAGAACATGTATAACGGTTTGTATCGTCAATTACAGACGGTATTATTGTGTAGAATGTCATGTTCAATTGTATTTGTTGTCGTTTGTTGAAACTCGAAATTAGCACTTTTTCAAATGCTATTCTACTGAAAAAATTAAATTAATTACTATATAATAGTAAGAGGAATTTATTTTAATTAGAAAGTAAATTCCAATCTAAAAATTTAGATTTTATTACATTTGGTAACTCTTTTGAAATTCTTTAAAAAAAACTGGCGGTTGATTTGTAATTTGAATTTCAAATTCATTCAGACATTTAAAAGAAAATATCATAAGCATATTGTTTTTGATACATCCTATTTTTATCTTAACTTATATATAATCACATGCCTAACAAATATTAATTTTACTTATATATTTTTAAATTAATTATATTAAATAAATAATATTAATATACATTAAATACTTAATATTATATAAAAAAGAATATTACTTTTTATAAGTGTTAATTTTTTAATAAAATAATATTTGAGTATTATGATGAACCAAAATATGTAAAATTATTATTTTTTATATATATTATTTATATTAATATAAACGAGTCAGCGCGCTAATATATTGTTAAAATAAAGTTTTGAAAAAATGTTCTAAGGTACAAAACTCCCGTGCATCGCACGAGATTCTCATTAGTTAAAAAAGTACGACAAAAAAAGTAAGTTTTAAAATGCTTCCCAAATTTATTAAATGTCTATTCAAAAATATTTATATGTCCTTTGTCTACGTTTGTTCCCGTTTCGATCAGGGGCGTAGCCAGAAATATTTTCTACTCTGGGCTTCTAGAACCGATTTTTTAGGAAGTACAACTAAGTTCGGCTCGTAAAAGTCAATCTTGACTCATTCATATAATAAAACATAAAATAAAAAATTAATTCAAACAAGCAAAACTTAATTGATTTCATTCGATTTATTAAATAATCCGAGCCAAACTTGCTCATTTATTATACGAGCAAAAGTTCAACTACGACGTATTCGACTCAATTTGGCCTCACTAATATCACTACTGTTATTTGACAATTCAAGGTATGATAATTTTTTAAGTTTTTAATGTAAGTTACAAAATCAATGAAAATTAACTATTAAAAATATGTCATATTGTTTTTGTAATAACGTCGCGTAATTTCTTTTGCCTACTTAAATTTGACTTAAGCAAATAATATAAATTATTTAAAATACCTATAAGATTAACGTTTTATTATTCGACAGATTAATCCAACATACTTGTTATATGATATTTCAATTAAATTGTGAAAGTCCAAATGTCATTTTTTTGAATAGACATATTACCATAACATACTTGTTATATGGTATTGTATTTAAATTGTGGAATTCCAAATGTTGTTTCATTGAATATGCTACGCAAATTAATGAAATTAAATCATATATTTCACACATTGAAATATTATTTATTTATAAGTTAAAAAATAACTGATATATTTCACATATAAGGTAATATAAATAATATAATTTCATCATGTTTTAAACCAAATATTAAAAATGAAAACAAAGAAGAAAAAATGACAAAGTAAGCTATAACCACAAAAAAATACATAAAAAGTTTGAGTCATGTAAAAAAATATGTATAATTTTTTGTTTAATATAAAATAAATTTAAATTAATATGGACTAAATAATTTATTATAAATTAAATTAGTAAAATATGGGCTAAAATATTTTTTCTACTACTACATATTTAGATAAAATAAAAAATTTAGACCAAGCTGGAGCCGCGGTGAGCCACCATGTGGCTACGCCCCCCGCACCAAATTCTTATTTACTTTAATTTATTATTTCAGAATGAGTTATTTGATTTATTATTTTATTTTACTTTATGATTTTTCTACTTTATTATCTTATATAATTATTTTATTTATTTTTTAATTATTTTTTATTTAAAATTTATATAATTATTTATTTTAATAATTGAAAATATAATTTTATTTAATTTTAATCACGCTATTATATCAAATTTTTTCTTACTTTATTTTAATTTTAAGTTTTTTTTATTATTTTTATGTTAATTTAATTTATTGCAAGTTATTATTGTTATTAATTATTTAACTTATATTAGAATTACCTATTATACTTTTGTTTTATTTTATTTACTTTACTTTTATTTTATTTAAGTCATTTCTGTATAATATTATAAACATATTTATGTTCAATAGTTTACACAACCATCCATGTACCCTGTGGTTGTGTGGGTGTCTTTTCCCCTTGAGATCCAGGTTCGAGTCCTACTTCCCACACTTAAGTTGGAGAAGGTACCTTACACGCGCCGTTAAGTTGGCCAGAACGGGGGAACCCTGCACCAATTACTTAAATGTAAGGGTGATATAGCCATATTATAATATACCGGCCCAAGCACTAACTACTAGACCGGGATGGCGAGTCGAACCGACCCCACGACGCATCACCAAGTCGACACCCACGAGTCGACTCCGAGACAGCTTACGGTCCTGCATGAGTTTAAAGGCGAAGGCCGGTTTGACCAAAGTCGACAGCGCCAAAGTCGACTCTCATAAGTCGACCCCTACAAGTCGACTTCCACCCAGAAGATGAACAAGCGTAGCCTCCGAATATTCATATGATCCCAAGTCGACCTCCCAGTGCTCGAGGTCGACTCCTCGTGCCTCGAGGCGCGACATACTGACGACTCAGTACACATAATATCTCTTGAAATCTTCTATTCTCTAATGAATATGAAGGAACCTTGTGATGACTCAGCAGTATGGGGAGACGAATCGACCAGTGTAATTTAGATATTTCAGGTAGACCGACTGGGGCCTTCTGGGTACTCCAAGTAAGCGTTTCCTCCTATATAAAGAAGGTGAGGTAACCTTAAATCCTAACTTCCATTCATTCCATACACTCTCCTCTGCTCCTGCTGCTGCTCTCTCAGAGCAGCTCTTCCTCATCTCTTTCTCATACTGACTTAAGCGTTGGAGGCTCTACGCCGGAAACACTTCTGGCGTTGAGTTCTTGCAGGTGTTTACGGCGATCTAGCAACGGTTCGGGGGCGATTCAAACAGATCTGAGCTCAAAACCACCGGTTCACTTCAGATCCAGAAGTAGACCCATCATTTTGGCGCCGTCTGTGGGGAGTTCTTAAGGGAAACAAGAGCTTTGCACCTAGTTTTGATCTGTTCCAGATGTCTAACAAGGAAGGATTGCAAAGAGATCTGAATGAGGAGTTTAGGGGAACTTGGACAGAGAGGAGGCCGCCGCTGATGTCTACCCTTAAACCATTGATTCCGATGATGGGATTACCACCATTTGGAGGACCTCCGCCGCTGGGAATGAACCTGAGGGAAGAAACACCTATTACCCCACCTGGGGTGAAGATGTAAGTGTTGACCCAAGGAAGAACAAGTCCAACATCGAACCTTAACCCAGGTGCTGGAGAGAAGGAGCTAACGGAGATGCCTCGACATGAGGGAAAACAAATTCAAGAAGTGCCGGAGCAGACACAAACACAACCCCACGTCGAGGAGCAAACGCTGACGATGACGATGAGGGAGATGCAAAAGATGATTGTCGAAGCTGTAGCTGCCCATATGAGATAAATGGTGTGAGTCGAGCAAAACCCTCGGGTCGAGTAGCATCAGAGAGTCGAACAACAGCCTCGCGTCGAGCAGCAGGCCCAGTCAAACGAGCAACATAACAGGAGGGTAGACGAGGATGAGTCCTCCATCAGAACCATTAATCCGCAAGCAAGTGACGAGACATTGGAGCAGTTGATGGCCCAGGTTCGTGAATTGCGAACTCGAGTTGGAGGCAAGAAGAGTAGAGGAGCGAAGGAACACCCATTCTCGCAACACATTCTGAGGGCCGACTTACCTCAAAGCTTCAGGGAGTTGAACATATGGTACGATGGCTCCACTGACCCGTCTCGACATCTAAGAAGTATTGAGAACATGGCGGTGCTCCACCGCTACAGTGATCATGTGCAATGTCGTGCTTTTCTGACAACTTTTAAGGGCTTGGCTCAAGACTGGTTCCACCAATTACCAGCTGGGTCGATTCGAGAGTTTGATGGCTTCAGTTCGAGTTTTCTCAATCAGTTTGCAAGTGTTAGAGTGCAGGAGAAATCCTAACTCTTATTGATCAACATGCAGCAAAAGACGTGGGAGTCGCTACGAGACTATGTGGCAAAGTTTACAAGTTCATGTGTCGACGTGCCCACAGCGACACAAGAGATCAAATCAGGAGGACTGACGAGGGCTGTAGCCAGGGTTGTGTAAAAACTCTCTGGCGAAACGACCTGGCAGGAGCTTCGATGAAGTTTTAGGGAGATGTGCGGAATACATGAACGTCGAAGAAGCGAAAGCCGACTACTTGCAAAGCACGAAGGTGTCCCAGGCAGAAAGTCGAGATGATAAGAATGTGAAGAAAGTTAACTCGACAAGGGAAAGAAGAGGATCCCCGCGAGCAGAGAGAGAGGGACGATCTTGGGGATAGAGGCCAATTCAATACACATCCCTGACGGCTCCTCATGCGAGAATATTGGAAGTGATGGAAAGGAAAATCCGCGATAATGTGGTGAGATGGCCAAACACGAGGAAAGATGGACCTGTGAAGCCCAAGAGCAGTCTGTATTGTCGATTCCAGAAGGACTACGGGCATAACACCGACGACTGCAGACACCTCAAAGACGAGATCGAGAGGTTGATCAAAGCTGGTCATCTGAAGGAGTTCATATACAAAGATTGCAAAAGGTCGAGTAGAAGGAGGGAAAGAAGTAAGAGTCCTTGCAAGAGAGCGAGATCACCAGAGAAGGAGGAACTCCCCCCGAAAAAGGGAGTAATACACATGATATTTGGAGGGTCGACAGACGGAGACTCGAATCGAG